ACCTAAAATATCTGTGCAGAAAGGCTAAAGGAAGGGTGAAGACTGAGGGTGAGAAATAGTAGGACCTTTCATTTTGTAAAGTGTTTCCTTTTAATTTGAATAGTTTCTTTTTAACTTCTGCCCTCTGATAGCCAGGAAATGCCAATTTACATGCTGTTGGGAATTGTACGTATAGTTTGTGGGAGGGAGAGGAAGGGGGCAGGTGGTTTTCAGCATGAGACTGGCTCTGAGAATTTTTATCCCACCCAGTTCATTTCATTAATGCCATTCCCTTAACCTTAAATCAGGAAAGCTCCCCGTGGAATCAATCCAGATTGTATTAGAGGAACTGAGGAAGAAAGGTGGGTTCAGTTCTCCAGATTCCTTATTTTTCCATCTAGTTGGGTTTTCCTGAGGGAAGATTAACACAAGTCTTTTCTTGTAACAACTCTCCCCTGGCTTGGAGCCCAGAATGCTCTGTACATTAGATATCCCAATTCTGCAGGTTGTTTTCCCCATTGGTATACAAAGCTGAAATCTCTCCATCTGTGCTCTAACACCTGAAGAGATGTAGAAAGAGAGCGGGTGCCTTGCTAATAGTCATAGCATAACAAATTTTGAATTTCTCTTTCTGAAAGCTGAGTCTCTTACACTCTATTCTACCTTGGTTTTTGCCTCTCTTCCTTCTTAGAGCATGATGCTTTCATAAATATCTATTTTGCAGGGAACCTTGAGTGGTTGGATAAGAACAAATCTAGCTTCCTGATCATGTGGCGGAGACCAGAGGAATGGGGGAAACTCATTTATCAGTGGGTGAGATTATTCTGCTGCAATGACCCATGCATGGCAAAGGACAAATGTATCAGTGATCAGCAGATACCTGGTGTTCTCAGATTCAGGCTGAGCAAAGCTGGAGGGGGCAAGAAAAGGAAGCGTAGTTCTTCCAGGCAAGATTCTTTCAGTGACTCAATTTCCTTGGCTGCACAAAACTTCTCTTTCTTTGCCTGTTGGAGGTCAGAGGCTCCATGAGGCCATGTTTGGAGAATGCACTATTGGGAACCACTAGTACTATTGTTGGCTGGAGCCTCTGACCACAGAAGATAAATGAGGAAAGGAAGGAAAAAAAAAACCCATGGGGCCCCTCCCCCCACCACACTCTTATAGGGCTGTCCACAATATGAATGCCACATTCTGAACCAGTGTGGGTGTGGGGACACACTGTCCTTCAAATTCTCAGCCACCACCATTTCTAAGCATTCCCAAGAGAGAGAGGTGGGGAAGAAGCATCAACAACCCAAATAAAACAAACACATACCACCCATTCTTGGACAGGAAAACAACCAGAATGAGAGGTCATTGCTCAGACACGTGAAGGCCTGTGGTTTAGTGGTTCAGAATTTGTGTGTACATGTATAAATATAGTACCTGTAGGGTTTGTGGATTTTAGCCATTCCTCTGCAGAGGTGACAGTGAGCCCTGGTTTGGGAATAGGTATCATTCCTGGGTCAGAGAGGTAGAGCTGGTGAGTTTACCTTCTCCCAGGAGATTCCTGGTCCTTATTCAGTCCCCATTTTCTTTGTCCATAGGTTTCCAGGAGTGGCCAGAACAACTCCGTGTTCACCCTGTATGAACTGACCAATGGAGAAGACACAGAGGATGAGGGTAATGCTTTTCCCTTTCCCCCTAGTTTTGTCATCTGAATCCTCTCTCCAGTCCTTGTTTAATTGACATTCAGGCATTTCTCTGCCTCTGGATTCCAAATACTACGTAATACAAGGGTTCTTAACCCATGTTCAATATTTCCATAAACCACCTGAATTCACATACAAAAAACCCCCAAATTTTTGCTTGTGGGGGTATGTATGTATTTTTCTAGGGATAGAGTCCATATTATCAGATTTTCAAGGGCATCTGTGACCCATGAAAAGTTAATTACTGATGTAAATGCCAAATGAGGAACCGGGGCAGGAGATGAAGCCTGAAATCTCAGTCCTTGCTGACTCAGGTTTTCTTTCACCCTTTATCCTTATAAAGAGCTCAAGGTTTGTGGGTGTTAGCTGAAGGGATTGGGCCAACACCTCCAGCTCTTTTAAATACTTTGTTTTCTGGCCAGGCAAGGATTTGTATACTGTTTGATTTTTTTACATAGTATAAATACTCTCTTAGCTCTTTTATTTCTGATTTTATATTTTGATCCCCAGGATCACCAAAAGTTCCAGTCTTAGCAGAGGAAAAGAGTGCCTCCCCTTTTTGCCAGATCCTGGCTGTCCCAACAGAGCTTACAGCTCTTGGCTCTTCCCCTGCCCTGCAGGCCTCTGCTTGCTATTCCCACCATCACCTATGACTTCAGTGCTTCATCCTTGCCCAGCCCACCACTCAGGCTAGGCAAAGCAGGAGGCTTCCCTAGAAAGCAGGCTTCCAGACTCAAGAGCTGGGCCCCTGCAGAGGGTGAGGTGTACAAGCCTGTTAGGGCTTGCCTCCTGTCTCACATCTCCCTGCAATATCTTGCCATATCTCCAGACACTCAGCTGGCCCTTGGCTCCCAGCTTTGTTTCTTTTAAGTAGGAAAGGGCAGATATCTGTGCTGGACCCTAACAGTCTCCTGGCCAGAGGTATGGTTATATTTCTTTGTGTTAGGACAGGTTCTCCTGATGGGTACAGTTGTGCAGTGAGGGTCAGTGTTCAGTAACAAGGGCCTTGTGCTCCCTAGGCTTCATTGTCAAGTCTCCCTCTTTGTGGCCCCCAAGCAAACGGTGTCACTCTTGTGCATCAGACACTAATGGATTGGGGGGCACATGGGAGTTGAGTCTGAGAGAAGAACCAAGAAGGGAAAAATAGGAATGCTCATTTTATGCTAAGCTTTTCTTCCACCTGTTACTCCTAAGGAGTACCTCAGAAGGATGGGTGGCAGCTGCAGCAGTATAAATGGTACATATATATACTGGCCTCATAATGTATCAGCTTCCAGCTAGACTGGTCTCCTCAGAGGCTTCGAGACCCAAGGAGCTGAGTGTTCCTGACTGTCCATATCTCCCTGTCCAGAGTTCCATGGGCTGGATGAGGCAACCCTACTGCGGGCTCTGCAGGCCCTACAGCAGGAGCACAAGGCAGAGATCATCACCATCAGCGATGGCCGAGGCGTCAAGTTCTTCTAGCAGAGACCTGTCTCCTTTCACTTCTTACCTCCCACCCTTCCAGGGCTTTCAAAAGGAGACAGACCCAGTGTCCCCACAGACTGGATCTGTGACTCCACCAGACTCAAAAGGGCTTCAGTCCACGGTTGGGTTTCCCACTTACCCCATGTGTCTGTCCCTGGGATAGAGCAAGGCTGAGGTGCCAAGGAGAAAAGATGTGCTTCTCCTTGCCCTACCTCCTCTCCTGTCCTAGATTGTCCCTAAGCCAAGGTCTGTAAACCTAATACCACGTGTCCACATACCTAGTACACACACACACACACACACACACACACACACACAGCGCCTGCACAAGCTTCTGTCTCTTCTCACTTCTACTTCCTTAGCTTTTGTTGCCTCCCCTCAGGCTGGTGCTGGATCCTTCCTAGGGGATGGTGGAAGCCCTGGCTGCAGGCAGCCTTCCAGGCAATATGGAGCTAGGAGGCCCAGGAAAGGGCCTGTGTATGAGAGGTGGGGCCGGACACTGATTTATGATATTAAAAAGCTCAACCCCACTGCTTGCCTCTGACGTTACTACTGGAGTGGGCGTGCGGAGGGCTGTGAAGTCTTACCCCCAAAGCAAATCCCAGCTTAGGAGAGGGGAGAGAAGGCCTATGGCCTTCGTAAATGAAAAGGTCCTCCAGTGCTTGCCAGCTCCAGTGAGCCTGTGGTTTTACATCTGTTGGGTGGGCTGTGTGTGGGGGGGAGTGCTGATGGAACACAGCTTGGGGACAGACTGCTTTCTGTGTCTGAATTGGAGTAACTTAATGGCTTCCCTTTCCCTCACCTCCCCCAAGAAAGTCCTGAACTACTCTGAAGCCCCTCCCTCTCTCCATCTGGTCTGGGTGAGGTAGTTGAAGCCTAGGGGAGCTGAGGGGGAGTAAACCGGATATGGACTTTGGTTTATTGGAAACTTTAGCAAACAGAAAGGGGAGGAAGGAGAGCCCACAAGCAAAAACAGCCACTCAGGGCCAGGTTGAGGTCAAGGTAGGGAGGTGAAAGGGTTGGGTGACCGGGTCCTGGGTTTGGAGGTGGGGCTTGTCCTGGGGTGCACAAATCTACCCCTGTGCAGCCCGGGAGAAAACCTGACCTTTTCATTGACCTCTGTATTGTTGGCCTGGGGCTACAGTGGACAAGGAGGGGTGGGGCTGCTTTATCTGGGGTGTGCAGGCAGGTGGTAACCTCCTTCTAGCCACCCCCCCCCCCTTCTAGGGTCCGGGAACTGAAGTCGCGTTTCCTCTCCCTGTTTAGC